AGTTAGGTTGAGAGACCTTCCAGGAAGTCTCTCTCGCTCGCTCGCTGCGGAGTAAGGAGGGGGGAAGCGAGAGGGGGCCTCCCCAAGAGGAAGCTGTCTAAACAGGCGCCTGATTTGCTTTTCACTCAGAGCAATGATTTAAATAAGATATAAAATGAACTATCATTAGGAGAGGACGCGGTTGGCCTGCGGAGAGTTGCGTTTTCCTGGGTCCCAGGTCCGCGCAATCAGGCAATAGGTTAGCTACCTACGTGAAGGAAGCCATCTTGGATTGCCTGCTTTTATTACAGGACCGGGAATGAATGAGGTCAAGGCCGGACTGGGTGGAAGCCGCGCTCTGCAGCGAAGCCCGGGGATTCCGGCGCTTTGGTTAAAAGGCGCTTTTAAAAGCCTTGCCGAGGAGGACCGGCGAGGTGAGGCTCTTTTCCCATTGTACAGGTCGGGAAAGCCGCTTCTCGTGTTTGGAGTGACACGCAAGGTGGAACTTCAGCCATTCTCACGCCAAAACCTGATGGATGAATTGGGCACAGAGTTGGAGCGAGCTGTTCACGTTGTCAGACGTAAAAGGGATTCGGCTTACAGGCTTCCACGTGGAAATCCCGTCCACTCAGAAAATAGCTTTTGTAGGTTATATTATATCACGGGGTTAGAGGGAGGAAAAGTTTGGCTCACGCAGGGCTAGAAAAGGCAGCCAACCCATAACCTTTGCCGTATACACCAGAAATTGTCCTTTTATTTCCACAAACTCATTTCTCACAATCCTCTTTTCCAGAAGGTTAGTGGCGAAGAGAGAGAGTTTAAAATCCTTATGTTGTAAAAGTATCCAATAACTTTAGTCTAAAATACACTTTGTGTGAAATTACCATCTCTGTTCAGAAGTAAGTTCTAACAAAAATCAAGACTGACTCCAAATATTAAGACATTCTTAATATTTGATTGGCACAATACCAAGCATTATGACTGAGATGCATTTGTTCTTGTGAACTTAAAATTCAATAAGGAATGAAAATAATAGGTTTCATGGCATATCACACACCAAAACCCCTGATTTGCAATATTATATTTTATGCCCATGATATCTATGTGGTCACTTGGAGTTGAAAATGACTGGATGGCACATAATCATAATCAAATATGTATTTTAAAACCTTTTAAAATCCAGTATCAATGCATCTACACCTGGCTCTATCTATTCCTTCGGCATCTCCAGTGAAAAACAAGTCAGACAGCTGACACTCTGAAAAGCCACGCTGAAGACCTCGAAGAACAGTTAAGTGTATGGATTGATTGTTGGTTACAGTTGTCACAAATACCAATCTTGCCTGTCAAGACTTTGTGATTGAAGCCAGGTGTGTTCTTTCCTCCATTATCGGGAGCTTGTGTTAAAGATCTGCCATGGCAGAATGTGAAACAAAAGAATCCTTTTACGTATCCTTTCGCTTCCCTCTCCCACTAGAAAAGAAGGCCAGATAAAAGCAAACGTGGAAACCTTTAATAGGAAGAGGAGAAACAGTACATCGCAGCTTAAAATTAAAATCAGGTGCAGGGGCCTGGACGATCCCCAGAACTCAATGGGCCCATAGTAGGGAATGGAAATCTTCCACGGTGGGGAGAAAAATCACTGCTGATATAAAGCCAGACTGGAGGAGGGAAATACCCTTTCCTCTGTAAGGAATGCCAGACAGCCATGCTGGGGAGGCTTTGGAAAGGAATGCTACAGCCCCCAGCCAAGGATTAGATCCAGGTTGGCCCCAAATTCTCTATATAAAAAGGGAAAAGGAAAACTGGACTGGAAAATCCCTGCCTCCCCCCTCCCCCAACAATGTCTGAAATGAGTAAGAAAAAAGGGGAAAAAAAAGGCATCCTCTGTTTGTTCCCAGCCTCAGCAGGCCAGACAAGATTTCAAGGAAACTCAGCAACAGCCCGATCGGTCCCCAGAGCCTTGCGGGCCTTGGCGGAGGGATGATCCACCCTGAATAACTGATGGTTGTTGAGGGCCAATCCTGATACCATTTCCCTGGAAGGGGAGAAGAAAGGGGTTTATCCGTGTACACATCTAAAACAAAGTTGCCCTGACTACCTTAAGTATATAATCTATGCAACCTAGAAAGGCATACGTTCTTGATTTGTGCCCTTTCTGCGATTCAAGAATTGGAAAAATGAGTTAATGAGTTTTTATAAACTACCAGCAGGGCATATTAATGCGTCTCTACCTGGACCTCAAAACGTCCCAAGTCCAATACACAAAAAGAGGTGCTGCTTTTAACTTAGTACAATTCTAATTAATGGAACCAACTTCAAGTTTAAAAGCTGCAATTCGCATTTGTGGACTGTAAAGCGACTCTTCAGCTGGACCCTGTCAATTCACACGACATCTCCAAGCTGGCTAAGGCAAGGAAGCCTATCTGGGGTCTGAATCTGTCTATCTATCCAGGGTTTGAAGTCCAACATAACTGAACCTGGAAAAGGCTCATAAAGGAATGCATTACAAGAGTCAATCTGCAGAAGCGCCTGTTAAAGGATTAAGTATAGGGTAATAAATAACTTGATTCTAGTGAGTACAGGCAACTTATGATTAGAACCACTTTTTTTTTTCTTTTTAAAGACATTGGGTTAACATTGCATGACATTTTTCAGACTTCCAGCTACTTCTGTTACGATTCCAGCTGTTCCCCAATGGCTCCTCTGTCCCATTACAGAATTTCTGGCTATGGGTTTGACTGAGAGCCAGAGAGGCTTCTGTCCAACTTACCTCATTGGAAATGTCAAATTCACCCTGCTGGATCTTTCGGTAAATGGCTTTAGCTGTGTTGAGAAAGGCCTGGGAACAGCAGACAAGAAGAAAAGTATTTCAATATCAGCTTAAAAGACATCTGGTAGACTCAACTCCTATCCCTCTAGCATCAGAAGAGATACTTAAAACTATGAAAGAGACCTCAAGCAAGGTATGGCAGTCCAAACTGCTCTTATTTATTGATAATTTTTATAAATTCCCCCAATCCCTGGAGATTTTAGGTGGTGTACAGCAATATACAAAATAAAAGTTCATAATCATAAAACTCCTGAGTTAAATACAAATGATGAATGCCTCTACTCAAGCCCACTAGGACCAAAGACTCACTGAAACAATACAACTGGCTTGCAGAATATTAACAAGATAGGATTGCACATACTTCTGCGGAGAATAAGTTCCATAAAATGGGGCTGCCACAGAGAAGGTGTGTCATCTAGCCCATATCCCACATATCTCATGGGGGTGGGGAGGACATTCAACAGGCCTCATTTAGCTGAACAGACAAATTCAGCCCTTGCAAGATCTTGCTTGATATACCTTAGTATCGCATCATATAATGCTTTAAACGTAATGCCCAAAGCTTTGAATTGGGCCTGGAAGCCTACTTGGAACCGATGCAGCAACTTGATTGATATGTGCCATCAAGTCATTTTTGACTCCTAGCGACCACACAGACCTTCTCCATGAGCAGCAACTTGAGCATAGGCCTTATTCTACATTTGTGGCATTTGTCCCATCAACACCCTTCTATTGTGTTCATACTCTGTTCTCTTGGGCTTGAGGCAGACTGGGCGTGTGGTGTCCCCACTAGTTTTCATAAACTTCTTATGGAAACTATGAACCAGTCCATCCCTCTTTATGCTGCGTAAGTGATGCTGTGGCGACTACACAATAATCAGCACTTAGTCCTCAGCATTTTGAATTGAGTGAACGATGCAGCCAATGCAAACACCTAAGACTGTGTAAGGCTAACAGCCAGTTCAAGGAAGGGCTGGGCCTCACCAAATCCACCCTTTTCCCAACGCTTCTGCTCAGCAACCTCCATGTTTGTAAATAGCTGGTTGGTGGCATGTGGCAAGAAAAGCCATTGTGCTATCAGTTAGAAAAATGTTGAATGCATTTTATTGAAAGAAAGTGAATTTTCTTTTTTTTTGTTTTCTTCCCATCCTCCCAGCATCCTGGCAATGTTTTCCAATGACCCTTGAGGCAAGCTACTAAAATAAATAAATAAAAAAGGATGGAATGTACAGGTGAAACTCGAAAAATTAGAATATCGTGCAAATGTTCATTTATGTCAGTATGGCAACTCAAAAGGTGAAACCAATATATCTGAACCAGCCTGAGAGACCATTTAAAGGCTCAGGAACCCTTTGCAGGTGTTATGGATTCATTAGCTGATTAGAGTGGGACACTTTGAGCCTAGAATATTGAACCTTTTCACACTATTCTAATTTTCTGAGATTGTGAATTTGGGGTTTTCATAAGCTGTACCTGAACCAGCCTGAGAGACCATTTAAAGGCTCAGGAACCCTTTGCAGGTGTTATGGATTCATTAGCTGATTAGAGTGGGACACTTTGAGCCTAGAATATTGAACCTTTTCACACTATTCTAATTTTCTGAGATTGTGAATTTGGGGTTTTCATAAGCTGTACCTGAACCAGCCTGAGAGACCATTTAAAGGCTCAGGAACCCTTTGCAGGTGTTATGGATTCATTAGCTGATTAGAGTGGGACACTTTGAGCCTAGAATATTGAACCTTTTCACACTATTCTAATTTTCTGAGATTGTGAATTTGGGGTTTTCATAAGCTGTACCTGAACCAGCCTGAGAGACCATTTAAAGGCTCAGGAACCCTTTGCAGGTGTTATGGATTCATTAGCTGATTAGAGTGGGACACTTTGAGCCTAGAATATTGAACCTTTTCACACTATTCTAATTTTCTGAGATTGTGAATTTGGGGTTTTCATAAGCTGTACCTGAACCAGCCTGAGAGACCATTTAAAGGCTCAGGAACCCTTTGCAGGTGTTATGGATTCATTAGCTGATTAGAGTGGGACACTTTGAGCCTAGAATATTGAACCTTTTCACACTATTCTAATTTTCTGAGATTGTGAATTTGGGGTTTTCATAAGCTGTACGTCTATCTCATATATTGGTTTCACCTTTTGAGTTGCCATACTGACATAAATGAACATTTGCACGATATTCTAATTTTTCGAGTTTCACCTGTATTATTTGTCAGATTTATATTGTGCCTTTCCTTCAAGAGCTCAAGGCAGCTGAGATGGGGATCTACTGTCCTTGTATCCCCACAGTAGCAATCCTGTGAAATAGGCTGGGTTGAGAGCATTTGACTGGCCCAAAGTCACCCAGTAAGCTTCTGCTGATAAGAGCACACCTGAACCTGGATCTCCCCAGTCCTAGTCCAATGCCTTACAAAAACATACTTCTCTGTCATGGGGCCTACCCTGTGGAACACCCCTCCCCGAGATCTGGACAGCCCCGACCATGCCAGCCCTCCATGAACCTGCTTTCTTCCCCAGGCTCTAGGCCTGCTTAGATGTATGCTTAGAGATAAATGTCCTCAACGTGAGATTTCTTTTTAAAATGGATTTGTGATTTGCCCTCTGATGTTTTTAATCCTACATAAGCTGCTCAGAATGGTTTGGTGAATGGGCAGCCTTAAAAATCAACTAAGTAACACCACTGGGTTTCTTTGCAAACTGCTTGAAAAGCTGTACCCCTAAGGGAGGTGGGAGAGCTGAAACAGCTGTGTTCTATCAGCACTACAGTCATAAAAGGAGAAAGGTGGCCTTGATACAGCGATACTATTCTGAATTCTCAGCTTATTTTGAAGAATTGGGCTCTTCTGGATGGCATGACAGGTTCACAACTGCAGGCCAAATGTTTGACAAAAGTCTTACAAACCAACATCCTAATTTCTCCATGCTTTCTCTTTCTTTCTCTTGCTCTGTCTCTCTTCCCCATCCTCCACCACCTGGCTGACAAGTTCAGAATAAATTATGCCAAGAATTCCAAATGCTTTCCCTAACCAAAAGAAGACCACAGAGTTTCCAGCATTTCTTTCTTCACCTCTTCCACGTTGGCTGCTGTCTTTGCTGATGTCTCCATGAAAACCATGCCATGTTCTCGGGCAAAAGCCTCACCTTCTTCCTTCTGCACAGCCCGCCGGTTCTCCAGGTCACTACAGGAAAAGAGGCAAACACAACTGTCAGGAAAGGGCAAGAGCATAAGAACCTCAAAGAAAGAACAATTATGCAAATAAACCCAACCAGGAAGTTAATTTATTCACCTGCCTGTACTGAACCCTCTTTGATGGACCTCTGAAACAAACACACCCATGTACAAAATTACATGGTTACTTTTTAACGACTCAAATGAGCAGCATCTGTGCATTTAGAGAAGACAAGGCTGATGTCCTGCAGTGAAACAAGATGTTGGTTATGGAACCCAAATCTTCTATCAGGCATGAATATCACTATGTGATCACAAGCAAACCCCACCATCATTGTTTTCTTCCATTTTCAAATAACTTCCTTTTTTGTCACCTGAGATCTGGTAAGAGGTGACTTTCATCCAAGAGAAAACCTAACTAACAATGTACAAAACCCACAAGTACCCCACCAAGAACCTATGCCTCTCAGAGTACTGTACATCTTTAAACCACCACCAAATCTGCCATTTCTCAGGCATTACCTCAATGCGACACATAGTTCAATGATGGAAGATACATCCTGCAGGTGGGAATATACATATCATCTCTATCAGGGATCTCTGAAGCTGTAGCCCAACCGTCACCTTCTCAACAACCTTCCCCAGGTTGGACAATGGACAAAAATCGTCCAGGACTCTCAGGTCCAGAGAAGGTTTCTTGGGGGAGGAGGACCATCCTCTTTCCATGATGTGTGGTTGGGTCCATGTGGTAATATCTGCTTCATTGACAGATACTACCATATGGACCCAACCACACATCATACCCCAGGCAGCTTACTCCAGCCAGGAAGGGCATGGATCTAATAAACAGGTGGCTGGATTAAGACTCAAGAACCACTTTCTCAGAAGTTACTGACTAAAATTCACCCCAATTAACCACACAAGACCTTGCTTCCATCACCTCAACAGGACCTGCCCAGTTAGTCCAACTCCGAGCAACTTTATCCACCAGATGCCTAGAATATTCCTCACAGTGGCCATCCATGTGGTCCTGTGGCTTACCCTTCCCTGGCAACAAATGAGTCATTTTAAAGAGGGCCACCAGATGGCTATCTGTGAATGGAATAAGAATGGAAAAACAACAAGGGTGTTTTGCCACACTTATCATCATAATATAATCTTTAACAAGGGCTCCTTGTTAGATTTACTCCTCCTCTTCATCCAATAGTGCTCTAAGCATCATTTCTGCCATTTCATTTCCCAAAATTCTTCAGAGAACCAAAGTACACCTTGAGATCAACACACAGTGAAAGGCCACATAGAGCAATTTGATCCAAGACCCTTGACATGAGCCCATTCCAGGCAGTGACCAAGCCTCAGCTGAACACCCATTAGATCCTTGGAAAAACTCCAAGCTCCCTCTGAGACCCACAACGTCCATTAGTTACCTGGGGCAGACCAATCTAACAGGTGCTATCTCCCTGCAACACCAGTGACCCAAAAGGCAATTAGGGAATGTTCGGACCATGGCAAAGGACTACTCCCAGATCAACCACAATTGCTCTGAGACAAAAGCCAGATATAACATTGCAACTCCTATGTATGTTGGACTCTTAATGACTTAGGTCAGGTCCATGATTGCCATGATTGCTGTGAACTCCCAGGCTGTCCCAGACTCCACACCATCTGGGGCATGTTGAAGTCCCCAAGAACTATGAGTCTTGGAGACTCCATTGCCAACCCAGACAGGGATGTCACTGCACAGCAGGGAGGCTGATACAGAAGCAACAATCCCTATTGCACCGTAGAGCCCAACTTCAACAAGAGAGTCTTATGTCTGATTATCTGTGGGGCAAAGCCTCTAAAGCCATTACATTCTCACAGATGACAACTGCTGTCTTACCCCCTGCCTACAGAGGGTAACTGTGTTCCCTCAAAGGCTCACAGCTGGTGCCAAACGTGAAATCTAGGTGGGCCTATTTCCAAGTGGGGAGTTTCCCCCTCCATGGTCTTAGTTATACATGCCAGGCTGGCTGCCTCATCCACAATGAGATCATGGATGAGGGCAGTCTTAAGGCCACACTGTTCTGGCAACAGCAGCTGTCCTTGGGGATGAATACTAAGGGCTGGAGAGCTGGATGGGTCTCAGCAACTGGCCCCACCATCCCTGTGAGCAGTCTACCCTCAGCTTCCTGCCATATCTCCTCTGTCCATCACAACCTTGATGAAAATGCCTGTCCTGTCCTTCCCTCTCCCAGGTCATTGAGCACATACAATCAGCCTCACCCTCATCCCATGACAACCACAATAACCTCCCTGACGACTCCTGCAAGATCCAACAAGGCATGTTCCAATGAAGCAATCAGACACATATTTTATGCAATGAGATTTAGCTTTCTGGAGATTCTTTTTAACAGAGAAAATAGAGTATAAACTTTGAAGACTTTTAAAGTAGAGAAAGACAACAGATTCTTGCAGAAAAGTATTTCCTTGCAGAGGAAAAGGACTGGGATGTGAACCTGGTTTGCATGTCCTGCTATGCAGAAGTTCTTTTAGACCTGGTTGATTGAATTGACTGGGTTTGCACACATCATACTAAGATAGAAACATGGTTTTCCTATCATAAAATCTGGGTTCATATAAAGCTGAATCCTAAACCAGAAAAACCACTTTTGGGCTTAGAGTGATGTGTGAGCCCTGTCACAATCTTGTTCCATGTCTAAACTTCCTGTGCTTTTTCACTACTTTTTCCATCTTTTTTCCTAGCACTGGACACCATTTGCGGATGGAAATAAAGGAAAAGTAAGGACTTCCTTTTCATTGCCAGAGGAAGCACCTAAGCAGAAAATTAGAATGCAGAAATTAATCAGCAGCTTGAGAACAGAAAAACCATGCAATTCCCAAAGTGGACAATCAGATGCTTATAGGAAGCTCTTGCCCTTCCTGCTACAAATCCCTAAGGGAAATGGCAGATACTGGTATATACCATAGAGCTGCGCAGCTCTTTGGATTCAGAAGGAGGATGCTCTCGAACACCTGTCTGCAACTCCCAAAAGCAGCCGCATCTGTTCCCGAAATTGTGGATCTCCCTTTTGCAATTGTAGCCAAGAAAAGACACATTTAGTTGAAGGAACTGCAGACAGTGAGATATGCGCTACTGGTTAGGCCTTGGGTGCAGGAAGGGGAAGCCAGAATGAGGAAAACCATCCTTACCTTTTATTGCCAATTAGCATGATCACCATGTGGGCATTGGAATGCTGCCGAGCATCCTCTAGCCAGGAATACAAATGGTTAAAAGTTTCCCGCCTGTGTGGAGTTAGAAAAACAAGAGGTCAAGATGAAGGTGAGAAAGTTCAAAGCTGAGAGGGTTAGCTTAATGGAGAAGCATCTACCCCAACCATCTTTGCAGCTTATCCCCAGAATCTGCACTGGAAAAACACAGAGGACTAGAGAAGAGTGTCCTTCCATTGTCACTTGACATCCAGAGTCCCTGAGGAAAAGGCCTTGTAGATGAGGAATGTGAGACCTCCAGGCCTGCTCAAACCCTTCCTTTCTCCCCGCTACTTTTTAAGTTCCAAAGCAATATTGAAACGATTAAATGATGTAATAAGCATTGGTCATGAATTACTGGAGTGAAACCAAATAAGCTAAAAACCTATCAGAAAACTATGCCACCCCTTTGTAAATTTGTAGAGTTTGGGTAGAATCTTCTAAAGCTTGGATGCCATAGCCACACAGGACCTACTTCTGGCTGTTGCCATCTTGACAATACAAGCAATGTAAATGAGACAGCTTTCTATGTATCAGTTTTCCCTATCTGGACTGCCCTCCAGATGTGTTGGGCGTCACCTCCCAAGATTCCCAACCATCATTCTGGGAACTGGGAAATCTGTTTTCTATGTCAGTACATGAAAATAATCATATATTTCAAGAACTCTCCTCTAGAAGAAAACTCAGTGCTTCTTGCAAACTTTAGTGCTTTAGTTCGGTCTTCCAAGGTAGTCTTCCAGACTATAATTCCCATCAGCCATATGTGCTAGCTTATAATTACTATGTCATAATTGAGCATGTCTGGAAGATCTCAGAGTGGAGAAAAAGGTGTGGTCCTGGCTCTCTTTCTGCACAGCATGAAGACTATTCTATATGAATATCACCTATGATATGAAGCTTGAGGCTCTCAGGAGTCTGAAAAGGTTACTCAACCGTGTATTCTCATCCTCCTGCTCTCTCACCAACACAATACACCAATAATACCCAACCTTTTCTTTTATGCAGTTCACTACATCATCAAACACTTCTGAGGATATAGCATATACCAGGAACCAATAATGCAGGACCTACAAATACCATGGTACTGGGACTCTTCTAGATGATTTGTAGGATCCCAAAACTAAATAAAAACTATTTTCATTTTTTGAAAAATCCGAAACTACATGAGACTGCCAAATCTTATGAAATGTTGGTATTCCCACGTGAAATCTCACATAATTATGGGTCACAAAGTCTAAATCTTGTGAAATGAGGTCATATCCCAAGATTAGCCTATTTAGAGTTACAGAATATTCATTTCATCTGAATAATTCTGGCAACTTAACAGAGGACCACCTGCAAGACCCTTGTAGACCACCGGTGGTCCTCAGAACCAAAGGTTGGGAACCCTGAGCTAAACAATAAACCTAATCCTGACCCACACCCATATTGTGCATTGTGGTTGGGCCTCACCTGGTGATGTCATAGACCAAAAGTGCCCCAGCTGCTCCCCTGTAGTATGAGCGCGTAATAGAGCGAAAAGATTCCTGGCCAGCCTTTGGAATGAAAGAGAAGCATCAGGCCTAACGCATGAGCCAAACTACACCATAGCAAGATCCAGAGGTGAAATGGTGGCTGGGAGCAAATACTCCTCGCTCCTTCTGGGCAATCCAGTCCCCATGATCTCTCTTCACACACCCTACCAATCCCACACAAAGGGCTTCCGGGGTTCCTCACCGTATCCCAAATCTGCAGTTTGATCTTTTTGTTTTCAATGGTAATCATCCGTGCCCCGAACTCCACACCTGGTGGGGAAATGGAAGAGGAAGAGATTTGAGGGGGGCCAGGCTCAGTGGGCTGGGCTGCCATTTGTACCCCTTTCTCAGCATGATCCCCAAACATCAACCCAGACTAGGATAAGGAAGGGGAAGGCAGGAATGGGAAAAATCTAGAGAAAGGCAGAAAGGAACAGAATGTGGGGCTGTTTGTAAAATCAGAGTCCAGAAAGCAGAGGTGCAAGACCAAAAGAAGGAATAACTATAGAGACGTAGGCACTATGTGTTGGGAAATCTAGCTTTAAATACACCCTGCCTGTGATATCCATAGAAACAGCACCTTTTTCCATGGAGGTGATGGTGAAAGTAGGGGAATATGGCCGTTATTTTTTAAAGACTCACATTACCTGTAGAAGCGGGGGAATGGAAGATAAAATCTCTTTTTCTTCCCTTTCTCCCCCTCACCTAGGTATCTATTCACACAAACACCAACGACTGAGTTCAGACAACTTGCTGTGCCAAAACAACCTTGGTATGGCTCAGTGGGATGATAACCCCATCACAGGTTCAGATACCCACTACCTGAATTAACACAACCTCCAATTAGAACCAGTGTGATGGTGGTTAAGGCACTGGACCAGAACTTGGGGAAACGGGTTGAAGCCCATCCTCAACCATGGACTTTGGGCCAGTTACTCAATCCATCTCATGGGGTTGTGGAGGTAAAATAAAGGGAGATGCCTATTTAAGCCACTTTAATCTCTAGGATAGGCATGATAAAAATCTAACAAATCATCATGCTTTGGAAGATATGGGGATTAATATCACTGCCTTCTGCAAAATTATCACACTTCCTCCTAGCCGTCATTCTTAAATAAATGTGTTGTTCCAAGGGCACCCAAAATTCTTCCACAAATCTTTTCTAGTTTGATCCTCTACAGAAGACAGAGACCACTAAAGTTAATAGGTTTACAGTAGCGAAGGATGACAAGTGCTAAGCATTGTTGGAGGGGGGGCGCTGTGGGATCATTACTTTGCATGCTTGAACAATGAGCCACTTAGGTAAGAAATGTTTGATGTGTAGTGGAGAAACAAAGAGAAAAACTGGTCAGCATGACTTTACTACTCCTGCAAGCTGAAGGCCTGTGATAAACAGCTAGCAAAAGAAGGGGGAAAGAAATGGTGCTTTAGCATCTCAAATCCGCTGATTTAAAATCACATCTTACCTCCTTAAACCTAACTCTGCTCACTCGTTCAACCTATGTTTCTCTTTCAATTGTGTTCATGATCTTGGCTTCTTTTTTGCTATCACCCTTAGTTAGTCAAAGGTCTCCTGTTTCACATATGAGCAGCTTACTGAATAGTGGTTCTTAAACTATTTGACCCAACTGCCTCTCTTCCAGGTCTCCAATAAAGAACCACTGCTATAGAATCTACTAACTAGAATTCAGCCATCGATAAGCAAGCTTTGTGTGGAATACATTACAAAACGTTGATGCTAGGAATTGATTTTGAATGCTGGGGTAAAGCAGAAGTCATAGTCCTCCCATGCAACAATCAGTTCTTGCCTATCCTATCCTATTTTCATTTCAAAGTAGTTTACTGAAAGAAAGAAAAAAATAATTATATTGTTGTTAATATATAGTTGTGTCAGAAACCCTTGCCAAATCCATCATAAATCACTGGGAGATATCCCATGAGATATTGATCCACCTTTTCCTGCCATAAGAAATTCTACTGTTCTCCCTTGCTACCCTTTATGGGTAGATCTTTTTCTTGAAAACACACACAGCATACTCTCTGCCTTTCTTCAAGATTTCCTGCATCAAATGGGACTGGTTACACTTAAGGGTATGATATAACTCTAGAGTTCAGAATCCATTTTTCTATGGAGTTTTATATCATATGCCCTAAATTATAAACTGTAAGCAATATTTATCTCTGTGTGATGATAAATACTCATTTCTCAAAAAGCAGAGTTGGTCTTGGTTAATACATGATGGGAGATGATGAAAAAATCTGAGCTTTTGATTATACTGGAGATTGTATGTATGTATGCCCGGGAGCCAGTTTGGTGTAGTGGTTAAGGCATCAGGCTAGAAACCAGGAAACTCTGAATTCTAGTCCTGCCTTAGGCATGAAGCCAGCTAGGGACTTTGGGCCAGTCACTCTCTCTCAGCCCTAGGAAGGAGGCAATGGTAAACCACTTTGGAAATCTTATCAAGCAAACTGCAGGGATTTGTCACCAGGAGTCAACAGTGATTTGAAGGCACAAAAATATGTATATATTCACTTTTTTAATTACTGCCAAGAAAATGACATGGACTTTAGGAACTGAAATTGTTTCAAAGGAGACTTCACTAGATTTCTCCTGTATGGTTGGCTATGCTTTATGATTGGCTATGGTTGTCATTATTATTATTAGGAATGTAAGAGTGTTAGGAATTTATTTATTTCCATAAATGGGGCCATACATTTATCTTCCAATGCTGCAATATCAGTCTTTTGGCCATAGTAAGGGCATGGAGAATCCATTTACATT